AAACATTTTCTAGAGTAAGATCATTCTAGAGAATCACACGTCCCTCAAGTGTAGCAACAACATGTCTACCGTCCGGCAAACTAACCGAACGAGAATAAATATGCACGGGATCAACAAGAAGAGTGGAGTCACCTGTGACATGGTGTGATGCTCACGTATCAATAATCCACTCAAAATGAAATAAATTCTTACCCGACATACGGTCACAAAAGCGAGAGTTATTGTCAATTAAACTTAAGAGAGCTTGTATTTGCTCCTTATTCAAAAGAGCCAAACCATTAGAGTCACCACCAGAAGAAGACCCTCCAGTTTCGGGAGGAGGTTCGCTCGCTGCCACAACGTGAGTACGCACGCCCCCCCCCCCCCCCCCCCCGGCCAGAACTTCCCTCTCGGCCTGCAGCTTGTCCCTTTGCCCGGGGTCGGTCTTCCCACCAATCCGGGTATCCGTGCAGTTTAAAGCACGAAGCTATCCCGTGTCCCTTTTGCTTACAATGAGTGCAAACGAGCCGAGTGCGGTCTGCCTTATCTTCATGACCCTTAACAGGCCATTCCATCTTGAGAGCAAACGCCTGCACGTCTGCCGTGGCTGCAGTCTTCCCACGAATCACAGCCCTGGAGTTCTCTTCTTGGAAGAACGCTTGATGAACCCGGTTGAGATCGGGCAACGGAGTGTGAGACAAGAGGTTGGACCGGACAGTTCCATAAATCTCATCATGAATTCCAACAAGAAATTGATGCAATTTCTCCTCCTCACGGTCAGCCGCAAATTTACCCACGATATCACACGTACACAGCCCGCACGAACACACATGCAAGGGTTTCAGCCGATACAATTCATCAAACACTCCCATGAGAGCGGTGTAATATGCATCCACCGTCATGTTCTTTCTCTGTCGACACGATGCACACAACTGCTGCAGCTTAGGTCCATTGACGACACTATATCGTTTCTCCAAGTATAGCCACAGTGTTCGTACGTCATCATGAAACAGTATCGATGCTACAACGTATGGTTCCATGCTCCTCAGCATCCACGACACTGTCATGGAATTTATCGTCTCAAAATCAAGCTTCCTTGCTGCCTCAGTGGGTTCCTTGAGCGTGTCGTCGATGAAGCCATTTTTTCGGCGTGCCTTCAAAGAGAGAGTGAAAGCTCGTGACCAAGCAACATAAATGTCGCCTTTAAAAATTATGTGAGTAAAAAGGTTCCCGGGTTGATCTCTCGAACCCAAATAATATGGAGATGTGATATTGCCCATATCGCTAGGCCGAAGCACGCTGGTGTAGACCTGCGAGGAAGACGACGTCGAAGGTAGGTATGTGTGAGACTCCCTCACGGCTCTGATACCATGTTGGAACGGTAATGCTAAATGGAGAGAAAATATTTTCTTGCCTTCTATTAACACATTACAATGGTATTTATACAACTGTGTACAAAGAGATAAAACCCTTAATAAAACCCTTCGGCCCAAAGTGAATTCGTACGAGCCCAAGTCTATGTACGAGTCTAACATCTAACAGCTTATACTTAATCTCAAGCGGTTTACCATGTTTCTCATTTTGTCCTGGCGTTTGACCTTCTTTCCCATTTTTTGTTTGTTTCAAATTTAATTAGTTTATTGTTCTAAACTATTCTGAATTAGCAAATGTCAAATGATTAAATGACAATGACTTGGCTTAACTGATGCATGTGATTTTATTAGACACTCTCTTAGTATCGTTTTCAGTGTTCTATCTTTCAGAGACTAATTTAATCTTCTATGTACTTTTTAAAATCTTTTTAGGCTTGTGAGACTGTTTGCACCTTGAAGGTGATACTCTTTGTTATATGGCTTGTAGCAACTGTTTGAGAACATTTTATGCAGATTGTGATGCCCGGTTTTTTGCATGCATTGTGTTAAGGAGGATGCAATTGGTACTCCAAGGTTAGATATCAAAATTACCCATGAAATATATGGTCAACATTTTCTGAGTTTAAAAAATTAAACAAAACTCTGATGACAATTGTTGAATTTTTTAATGAAATTATTAGATCCAAAGTGAATGTCTCAATCACCGATTGTACTTCAACAATTGATGCGACGGGTTTTGGGCAATGTGTCGAGAAACTTCTGCTAATGACTAGTAACAAGTTATGGAAGTGGAGCTAGAGGTTGACAAGTCAACAACCCACACAAATTTAATACTTTAAATTTATGTACATGAACTACTATAATTTGACACTGCACAACATTATGACTCCTCTTTACAAATTATAAAGAGAAAGAAGACATTATTCCAATATGCAAACAAACGCTTAGACAAAGAAGAATATATTGTGCATCTGAGATCACAAACAAGTACCTATCAAACCAAGTCAGGACCCTCTCACACCATAACATCCTTGCATGATGCATCTCACTATATTGTTGCAACCAACATTGATCCACCAACCCCGCTTTCATAAAAGATGAAGCTCCCACACTCGGGAGTAGAGGACTCACCTGTTAATTTGAAGCGCAAGAAAAAACTTGATTACTTGTTACTATTTCCCACTACTTCTATTACATTAATTAATTTCCTAAAACTTTTGCTTTATTTTTCTACAAGCGCTACAACCCAATAAATATTTGACTATTTCATATGTTTGTGTTTGTTATGTGTATTTTCATATAACAACACAAATACATGCTACTGCTTCATGTGAACCTTACTCCTATTTTGCTTATTATAGTCATCTTGACTGCTTTATTTTCCCACACATATTCTAGCCAAAAAATACTTTATTTTTTATGATTCTTTATCTATAAATAACAAACTATATATTCAAATTTTGTATTCATATTATTCATATTTTCACTAAACGACCTTAACCGAGATATTGTTGTCCCTGCAATGGTCTTGAGCATTACCACGAACGTGCAATGCACGTTATTAAACTAGTACTTTATAAAATAAGGGAATGTTTTAGAAGTGATTCTTGTTCTGCTTCTTTTTTTAAAAATATCAAAACCAATTTTTCAGAAGTCGATCTCTCACCTTCTAAAAAATTGCTTCCGGAAGCAATTTAGAGCATCCATAACTGTTTCTGCACTTTCACTCAAACACTCTAATGTATGTTTCTGCTCCTTCAAGGGGTAAAATCAAGTTTAAGAGGTAGATCCAAACACATCATAAAGTAATTGAGTCATTTTTTACCTGAAAAAAACTACTTGATTGTTTTATTTTCATGGGACGCGAATGTATTTGTAAGGTCACTCGAATCAGAGATCTAATGCTAGAACCCCCGATAGTTCAAGGGCTTACTTGTCCATCTTCTTTTTAAAAATGATTTTTAGAGAAAATTTAGAAAAAATGTTTAACAATATTACCTACATCCCTCTAAAGTTGATTGTGGAGATGACATGATAAGGAAGGAAATATGTTTATATAATTTGTATTAAATTGATAATAAAGAATGAGTTAACACCACATAAATATTATTAAATTTGATATGAGAAAATCTTCATGATACAAACTAAAAAGGCAAATGGAACACTCTTAATGGGATGAGGGAGTGACAATTAGAAGTGTTTGAGAAAAATGACTTTAATAATATAATGTTGCAGTGCTTGACTTTATAATGTTGAATTTAAGTAGAAGTTATTACCGAATACTTGAAAGCATCAATTTCCGTTTTCTTGAAACAAAAAGCTTAAATCCACCTTTTAAAATCTTTTTCAATATTCCCTAAGAACAGGTTCATCGATCAAATTTTGGGAAAAAGAAACTTGCTCGTTATGGAACACCTTACTATAAGTTTTTACAATTTTTGATCGCCAATTTAATTGGCATGCATTTTTAGGCCATGCTTTTAATTTTATCAAATATAGGGTCTATAGGATACCTGATCAAGTATATAGGGTACCCGATCGGGTATTCTAGGCAGTAGCCCGGAATGTCGTCTTTCAGGTCATACTCGATCAGGTGTGCTGGTTTACCCGATCAGGTTTAAGACAAATCTTCATAAAATTATATATCATCACGTCGTTTGTTCTTAGGACCATTAAGTTTGACACCCAAATCAAGTCAATACCCAATCGCGTATTGCCTATACTCGACCAGGTATATGAAACATTTTTTAAATCTTCGGGTATTGCTTATACTCGATCGGGCATATGAATATTTTTTCAAATCTTCTTTGTCTCTTCTCTTTGCACTTTGTTTGACCTTTTAAGATTCATTCTTAATATTTTGAATGATTTTGACTTGTTTTAAACTCAAAAAAAAAAACAATCTAAACAAATTATAACCATCTAAAAAAATAAATGATTGCAACGTAATTGTGCTATTATTAGTACAACGACACACAATAAAAACAAGTTAAAAGTGCAAATATACAAAATAAGAAATCTACATTATCTATGCTTCACAACTCTCCTATATCTCTTATGTCTCTTCTCTCTACATCGTGACTCCCTCCTCCTCCTTTGCATCTTTCTTAATATACTAAAATCAACAATGTTGAGAGGTAGAATATAGACACGAGCTCCTCTTTTGGTAGATTAAAATGTGTACTGCTATTTTGATAATTAACTCATTAAAAATTCCCCAAAAAATGATTCAAAATAATGAGTAATTCTAAAACGACAATACTAAATTTTTCCCTTTAAATATGTGTAAATTGATGCCATCTTAAAATCATAATGGTATATTCCAATACACATAGACGTATATACATATTTAGACGTCATTTGATAACAGTCAAATTGGTTGAATCTGTTAAAATGAATGCAACACTTGTCGATTGAAGCGGTTGAATTGGACGAATATGATGAATTGTGAAAAAGTTATATTTAAATACTCCATATATTTTCTTATTGGTCATTTACGGTAATTTTAGTTAACTTATAAACAAAAGTGCGTGAAATAAAAAATTAATGGAGGAGTAAAAGAGTTACTTATAATATAAACCTGATAAAACAACATCTCGATTCTCGACTTTATCTTCCTATATATACGAAGTAATATAGTCGTATACTGATTACGAATTAAACGACCCAAAGCAAAATTCATTTTTGGATTCCTTCCCGCTCCTTTGGATCTCGCTGCAGCTAGGAAACTCTCCGGGGCCGGCCACCGCCCATACAACAAGATCAGAAGAGATCTCTCGCCGGCCATCTGCTCTAAAACAAAAGGTGAGTTAGTGCGCGTATCAATGACGTCTGTTTCAATTTCCGTTTTAGCTTCTTGTCTTTCTCAGTTGAAAATTGCTTTAAATAAGATAAAAAAAACATTTGTGTATTTCAAAATAGGATTATTAGGCAAATTATACCGTGCAACCGGCGCACCATGAGGATGGTGCGCCCGGTTGCAAAACGACGCAGCTTGCCCCTTCTTTTTTTTGCTTTTGTTGTTAAAAAATGATAATAACTTTTTTATTTTTGATCTGATTTTTATAAAATTTATCAACATTTTTTATTTTTCATGATCTTTCAAATGAGACCAATATTGCTTATGTAATTTTAAGAAATTATCGAACTATTATATTAATGAGTATTGGATTATAAGGGAAATCGAATCTGTTTGAGAGATGATAGGTTTGTGAAATAGAAGATCGAATCTGTTTGGGAGTGGATCAGTGGCCTCAGTTACATTTGATAATACATTGAGTTACATCTTTTTATGAGCGAGTTACGTCTTTTTATAAGCAAGTTACATCTTTTTATAAGCAAGTTACATCTTTTTATAAGCAAGTTACATCTTTTTAAAAGCGAGTTACATATATATAAACATGAGTTGCATTTGACATGTCTGAACGCGACTTACATATATTTACACGTAAAGTTACATATTTTTACACGTAAAGTTACATATTTATACACACGAGTTGTATTTGACCTGTCTGAACGCGAGTTACATATTTTTTTACGTAAAGTTACATATTGTTACACGTAGAGATACATATTTATGCACACGAGTTGCATTTTGCCTGACTGAACGTGAGTTACATATTTTAACACGTAAAGTTACATACTCCCTCCGTTTCTGAAACAAGTTCCACCTTTCCTTTTCGGGCAGATTCAAAATTAAGTTCCACTTTCAAACATTTCCTTATTATCTACATCAAAACAGTGTCAAACAGTGTCAAACAGTGCCAAACAGTGTTCAAACAGTGCCAAACAGTGCACTCCACAGTAAAGTCAAATTTATTTTCTTAATATGTGTGAAGTCAAATGTGGAACTTGTTTTGGAATCGGAGGGAGTATTTTACACGTAAATGTTAATATGTTAAAATTACATAGGCAATATTGGTCTCATTTGAAAGATCATGAAAAATAAAAAATGTTGATATAAATTTTATAAAAATCGGATCAAAAATAAAAAATTTATTACCATTTTTTAAAAATAAAAGGAAAAAATATATAAATCCGTACCGATATACGGTGCTCACCGTATACCGGTCGTACGGTATAGGCACTGGATTATTATGTTTTTTTATGTGAACATGAGTAATTTCTGTAATGTTTTATCAGTACTATATTATAAACATGACAATATATTCTAAACTTGACAATAATTACTTCTATTTAGAGAATAAAAACATCTCAGTTCCATCCATTTTGAGAATTTTATCCTCTCTTCTATGAACATTTGTCACATGCATGAGTGGTTTTTTCGCCCTTACAATCAGACAGGGGAAACGGTAATTAAGCGGCTAAGCGCCTAGCTAGAGAGTTATTAATTTAGTAAATCAAAGTCAAGCTTTTGGCTAACTAAAGACTAGAGAAAATGGATTAAAAAGTGGACTTCTCACTTCGATTCTCTAAAACAACTGGCTTACAATTTAAAAGGGTTTTTTTATTCATCATTCATGTGTGGGATAATGGGTTTTTCATGATGATCCATTAAAACCCCCACTAACAATTATTGAATAAAAGTATTTTTTTCAAATTTGACTTTATATTTTTCTAACCCCCGTAATCAAGTCATAAATGAAGAATACATCATTATTTAAATATGGGGTAGTATGTTTTTTTTTTAATTTCATGAAATTTATTGAGTCGGTAATTTGAATTCTGAACCCCTCCATCTTCATTTCAATTTGGTGCTGGTCCATGTACTTTCTATTTTGATTTTTTTTTAATTTATGTTATACTACCTCCGTCCCGAAATAATCGTCCTGGTTTGACCTTCACACACATTAAGAAAGTGAAGTTGACCTCACACTGTAGCGACACTGTTTGACAATGTTTTGCACTGTTTGACACTGTTTTGTATAGATTTATTTATCAAATAAGGAAAGGAGACAATTATTTCGGGACGGATCGAAAAGGAAAGCAGAACAATTATTTCGGGATGGAGGGGGTATATTTTAAAATATACGAGTACTTCGTATCTCTAGTACTCCGTATTATTTATTGTTTTCATGTTGTTAGTTATTTTTTCATAATTAGAGCCCGTTTGGTGACTCTATTTTTCGATTTATCAGGCTTCTCAGCCAACTTTTTTAACCAAACACGTAACTTTTGATTTCATCAACTGAATTGTGTAATGATAGAAAAAAGTAAGGTTAGAATTACTTTTTCAACTGTATTAGTTGAAGTTACGGTAGATGATCATTTTAGCTATTTTCATATAATTTTTCTCTTATTTTATTAAGAAAATATATTTAAAATTTAATTTATTTATAAATCACCAGAATCAGCCAATACAGCCAATTCAACAAAAACTTCACAAATTTCAACAGAAGCAATCGATTCAGCCGATTTCAGTGTTTCCAAATGGAAAGATAGTGCTTCGTTTTTGCGTTATGTTACCATGCCCGATAGTACATTTAATTAATCTAAGTCATTATCTTATCATTAGCCACTTGGTTTACTAGCTAATCCAGTAACGATAAAGGAGCCTCTACAATTAGCCACTTGGTTTACTATTTATCAATGTTAACTCAGTCCCGAAGCTTCACCAAATTCCTCAAATGCATCAACTAACAAAGTACTCTTGTTAAAAACACTCATATATTGCTAAGAATGACATAATAACAATAAACTTAATAGAAATTGCCCAATATAGGAGTAAATATAAACATAATTGCACAAATTAAATAGGAGTAAAATTTAAAACTTTCTTCAATAGGAGTAAACATTAATTTTGTACCCTTAATATCCCTAATCTAGTTAATTCTAAAGTATGACTTATTTAATCCTAACCTAGTTAATTTATGATTTATTTGATAATAATAATTTATTTATTTATTTATTTTTCAAAAAATAAAAAAATATAAAAAAAAATTAAAAAAAATAAAAAACTCAAAACAAAAAAAAAAAATTCACCGTCGTCTCTGCCGCCTCAGCACCACCACCTCCAGTCACCAGGGGAAAAAATGCCAAGTTCATTACGAATGCCATATTTATGACAGAAAACAATGAAAATGTTGGCATTCACAAAGAGAAATATGCCATGTTTTTGGCATTTTCAGAAAAAAAGACAGTTTTTAGGGAAAATGAATTTTTTTTTTCACCGCTCGGAGGTGGTGGTGGAGGGAGGGAGTCAGTACAAGCGGTGGGAAAGGCACCCATATTTTTTTAATTTTTTTTATGGAGTTTTACAATTTTTTATTATTATTTTTTTTTTAAAATTAATTTTTTTTTATTTTTTTATTTTATTAATATTTTATAGTTTTTTTAAATATTTTTCTACGATTTTTTGAATTTTTTCGAATTTATTATGAATTAAACATTTAATTAAAAGTTGTTGGGGTTTGAGTAGGGGTATACTTGTCCAAACACTAAAGTTACTCCTATTCAAAACATGGTACTCTTATTTTCGTATGTTTTATTTGGGGAATTCTCTCTAAACTTAAAATGGTTTCCATGCTTAAGCAGCACTCAAGAAAGCCTTAAATTGCTCGTATGAATCACTCTTCAGACATGATAAATATATACACTTGAGAATGACAGCCAATAATTGTTAAAGGATTTCATTATTTGTTTCGCACCTGAAATCTATAAAATAATAAAACAATGTATAAGAATTTGAACCACCGCTCCTATTATGTTGATATTTTAGATTCTCATATTATTATGTTGATCTTTTAGAATGGAACCTCAGATCTTAACATGATATCATAGCCAAATCTCGCTGTGATAAAAACTCATGTATTCTTAATTTCATTTGTTTTTGAGCGATTCTCCTCAGATTTAAATAATAGGTCTTGTATTGAATTAGCTTGGAAAATAAAAGTTTAATGATATGAGTTATTATATTAAAAGGTGTATACACACACAATTTCCGGATCATATATTGAAAATATAACATTATATTGGAGATTATAATATTAAGATAATCCAAGATCAACCGATATGTTTGTGCCAATTCCGTGTATCTTAAATTTAGGTTCAAAAGGGTAACAAAGTAATATTAGTTCTAAACTAGTTCCCCTAATATAATAAAAAAAAAGTGTAACAAAGTAATCGTGAATAATGCATTCACATACTCTGCATAACACATACAAAAAAAAAGCAATTGGCACGAATTTTTTGAAGGGACTCGCCCAAATTCATAGAAGATTATTACAAAAAAATTACAAGATTGACACAAATTTATCGACGATTTCATGTCAAATAACTGGTGTCAAACTATTTTTGGAGATTGGGCATATATATCTCTGTCAAAATCCATGCCAATTTTGAAGAATCATTGTCAAATGTCTCTGTCAATCTCGTTTTTTTAGTGAATTTGGCAGAGATATAAGATGTCAAATCCGTATCAAAAACATTTTGGCACGAGTTATTTGACACAAAATCATCGATCAATCCTTGTCAAATGAGTGTCAATCTCATAATTTTTTGTAGGGTAAACTAAACCATGTAAACATCCGATCCATAAGCTGATAACGGGTATTGCCCGTTGATTTTCTTAATAAAGTACCGTATATGCGTAATAAGGAGTAATTTGTTCTATTATTTGACTAACTGGTCATTTCCTTGACTAAAGACAAACAACCCAAACTAATTACGTATCATTTTTCTCCACAACTTTGTTGTAATAAAGTAGTCTGATGGAGTATATGGCCCGGGAATCCCCGGCCCACAGACTCCTACTACTCTAGCAAAGGCCCAACAAGCCCAAAAGGCCCAAAAGGCCCAATAGGCCCAAATCACAGCGCCCAGAGTACCAAGCAGTCCGCACTACG